AAAATAGGGCAAATGCCCTATAAATAGGGTAAAATCGGCACCCTGCTTTTAGTGTAAGCATAGTTTTCTATATAAGAAATTATTTTTTAAATTAATTTATTTAATTGTTCCTTATATTGTTGTAATTTCTAAAAATATTTGTTCATTCTCTCTCTCATGTTTAACAGCTAAATTGAAGTATCTGTAACGGACGACTGCCGAAAATCCGTTACAATAAATAAATAAATACAAAATGCGCGCTCATTTTCAACAACAAAACAAATAAATAAATTTCTTATGTAAATCTACAAATATTTAAAAGAAAGAGAAACTTTTTTTTTAAATATTACGTAAAATATATTTTTATTTCATAAATTAAAAATTTAACTATTATTTTAACAACCTTCTGAATAGAGTTGACGGACCCTAGATAATTCCTTTCCGATATCCGAATCGAAAATTTCTGTTATCCGGACTTTTTTTTTTGGGAATTCACCAATCCTATTTTAGAATTTGCCACCCTATACTTTATAAAAAGATTGTAGGTTTTTTGTAAAGGGGGGGGAGAAATATGCTTAATTTTGGGACTTTAGAGAGTCATATCTTGGCCAGATCAAAAAAGGGCAAAAACGGCCCAAAATCCTTGCCAGAAAGGGCATATTCTCTATCGAATTAGCCCTGTCTCGATTTTTTAGGTCGGACATCTCGCAACCTTTCCATGTTAGCATAGATTAGGGTTGGAAAATAATACTGGCACAAATAGCATAGAACCTGTCAAATAAGGTTGGCGGATAGTTGGAAATCTTCGGATATACGGATCCGATATCCGAACCGAAAATTTCCTGATATCCACCCTTTTTCGGATCCGGATATCTGGATCCGAAAAAGGCCTTACTGCCAAATAAAATGGCGCCCAGGAGGTTCTCTCAAATTAATGAATTTTCGGGTTGGAAATCCAAAGTTTACGACTGAACGAATGTCCGCTATGAATACCAACTGCCCATACGCGTGTTTAAAGCTTTAACTTAATCCTTAACCTAATTTTTCCTTCATTTTGTATTTTCCATTAATTTACCCCAAAATTAAATATAATTTAAGTTTATTTAAATTTATATTTAATTATTACTCTATTTAAAAGCTTCTTTAGGATTTTGGGGGTCTTCTTTTAGTCCATGAGCACACATTGAGAAAACGAGTGTTTATCGCTTTCACAATCCCAAGAGGGAAAAAGCAAAAATAGAAGAAGCAAAATAACGAACACAACAAAAATAAAATAAAAATAATATGACCCCCCCCCCCTCCTAAAAATAAATAAAATTGAGAAAAGGAGAAAATTGAGTGAGACATTCTTCGTATTTTTAAGAGAGGGAGAGGGAGGATTCTCTCGTAAATAAAATAAATATATTCTCCAATTGCAACAAGCATTTTATTAAAACAAATTTTATTTTTAAATTAATTGCTATTTATTTTAAAGAATTAGAGTTTATTTTATTAAAAAAATTTTTTTGGGGGTTTATTGTGAATAAAAAAATAATTTAAATGCTCTTTTTTAAGCTCTGGACTTCTATTTTTCTATAATTCACTTTGCGAGCTTGTATCATATAGTGAGCTTGTATGTGGGCTTCATTTGTTTTGAGAATTTTGGAAAAATTTTGAGAATTTTGGAAGGCCGTATGCGAAAAAATGCACTTTCTCTGTGTTGCGGTCGAAAAAATTATGGACGGATATTCGCAATATCCGCTGATTTGGAGCAATAGCCGTATCCATTCGTATCCGTCCGATTTAAAAAAAACGCTATCCATATCCGTCCGTATCAGGATATATCCGCAGATATCCGGAATAATCCGTATCCATATGCAAGTCTGTTAGATCTTCAACTGATGTACAAAATAAACTACCTACTCTACTTATTAATTCTACTTTATTTTATTAATTTGATCAAATTTTTCTTTAAAAATTTTTAAAATATTTTGAGGAGTATCATAAACAGTGCTTCGAAATTTCAAATTTGCTCGTACTCGTACTCGTACTTCGTACCACCTCTTTTTTTGGCCTCGTACTCGTACTCGTACCTCGTACCACCCCCATTTTTTTGCTCGTACTCGTACTCGTACCTCGTACCACCCCTATTTTTGGCCTCGTACCTCGTACTCGTACCTCGTACTTACTCGTACTTAAAAAAAAAGTAAAAAATCGAAAATTTTTATGATTTTTTTAAGCCCAGGCATCTATTTTTAAATTTTAAGCGTTGTATGCGATAGTTTTTGAATCTTGGAAGGCTTTGAAGCCATAAATCCTCCGATTTCATCCATTTTCTGCGCCTCAAGCGAAGGTTTTAAGCATTTGGAGTGCAATTAGCTATATTTCCTTTAAGATGGGTCGGTTTCCAAGATGGGGCGGATATTTTTTCATCCGTTTTTCATTCTCTTTCATGGAACGCTATTCATTTTTAAACATTCTTTCTCATAATTTTATCTCCTGTATCACTCAATCTCAATTCCCTTTCTGCGCCGCAGGCGAAAATTTTTAAAAATTTTGAAGGCCATAAAGCCAGATTTCTTACATTTTTTTGCGCCGCAGGCGAAAATTTTGAAAATTTCGGAAGGCCGTAGGCGAAAAAAATTCACTTTATAGTGTTTAAAGAAAATATTTTAAGAATTTTAGAGGGTCAAAATCTGATAATTACTTCAAGTAAAAATAAAATAAATGTTAAAACAAAATTAAACTTATAAAATGGTTATTTATGAAAAGAAAACTATTAAAATTCATTGTCCAGTGAATAGGAATCGAACCCAATATTAAATCATTAAAGACTTTGGTGCAGCCAAGCACCTTCACCAATCGGCCACTCGCTCATATAATGGTGAATGAAAGGAATTTAATATATTTCTTTAATTTTCCTATTAACACCAAGTACGAGAAGTACGAGCTCGTACTTAGGCCTCGTACCTCGTACTTTTCACTTTTTTTGGCCTCGTACTCGTACTCGTACTTCGTACCTGCCCCAATTTTTTGCTCGTACTCGTACTTCGTACCAGGTACGAGTACGAGGTACGAGTACGAATTTTGGTACGAGCTTCGAAGCACTGATCATAAATTGGGAGATATTGTTTAGTAGTGATGTTCGGGTATCCCGACTCCCGACACCCGACTCGGGAAATTTCCCGAGTTTTTGGCCTCCCGATCCCGACCCCGACTCCCGATGCCAATTCCCGACTAAGTCGGGAAATTTTTACACCCCTAAGAATGGCTTTTTCTCATAAAATTTTATTTTTGAAAGGAAAAAATAAAGATAGGGGTCACTTTAGTACGTGGGTCCCGGAATTAATATACAAATGTTATACCATTCGAAAGAGCTTCTCGAGCTGAGTCGAATGCCACCAGTTTTAGCCCGAGGAAAAATTTTTGGACCGAGATATAGGTCCCTGAAATTTGAAAAAGCATAGGGGGGACCAAGCACTTTTTTGGGGTGAAAAACATGAATTTTCAAAAATTTTCGCCTGCGGCGCAGAAAATAAAAAATATCTGACTTCTTAGCAGTGATGGGCAAAGTTCCAGTTCCAGTTTCGGAACTAATTAGTTTTAGTTCCAGTTCTAGAACTAGAACTACGGAACTAACGATTATCTAGAACTATTTTGGAACTAGAACTACGGAACTAGTAAATGTCTGGAACTAGCTTTGGAACTAGTTCCGGAACTAGTTCTCGGGGGTATATTTTTGACAAGATTCCCTCGATGAAGTTTCTTAAATTCTCAAAGTTTTCGCCTGCGGCGCAGAAAAAGTGGATTTTTTGGCCTACGACCTTAGAAATTCTCAAAAATAAAGGACGAAGTCTGGTTCTTAGCCTTCGACTTAAGAAAATTTTCGCCTTCGGCGCGGACAAAGGATTTTAGATTGTCGAGAGTGATCATAACATCAATGGCGTATCCAGGAGGTTAGATGTCTGGCTTCCTGACCTTCCAAAATTCTCAAAATTTTAGCCTGCATAGCAAAAAATTGGTATTTTTGGCGCCGAAGGCGCCAAAAATTTTTTTGTTGTAAATTCCCGACTCCCGATCCCGACTCCCGAGGTCATTTCCCGACCCGACTCCCGTTTCCCGATTCCCGAGTTTTTTCTTCTCCCGAACATCACTATTGTTTAGGCAGCTACCTCAACCAGCTATCACATCCCAATTTAAAAATTTCTGTATATGAACTGTATTTATTTTGGATGTATTTTAAGGTTTTATAATTATTTATTTTTAGTAGAATTAGTTAAAAATGTTATTTCTTTCCAAATTCTTTCAAAAAACAACAAAAATTGCCTTTACTTTTTATTTATTAGCTACATTCAGCAGTGCATTTTGTCCTCCAGGATGTGAATGTAACGACGAATTATTAACTGTATTTTGTGATTTTTCGGGAATTAATGCTGTTCCTATATTGTAATTTGAGGAAAATATTTTTTAAATTATTTTTAAAATTATTTTTAGACTTAATCCAATGCTTAAATCTTTAACAATAAAGAATTCAAACGGATTGAAATTAGACACATTTTCAATAGCTCTATATCAGGGTACTTTTATTTTTTAATTTCCAAATAACTCTGAGCAGAATTTTATTTAACGGGAAATAAAAAAAATTTAATTTCAAAACTACCGTATATCCTTAATTACCCTGGGTAAATTGTTTCGACTTTCCACTGAAGGGAGTAATTAATAGAGGGAGGGTAATTACACGAGGTTTGAAATTTGCACGTGTTTTAGGGCATTTGATGGGAGGTAATTATTGTTTCAATCTATCGCTGGATGGGGTAAATAATAGAAGTGGCGTAATTATTTGAGGGAGGGCAATTAATACAGGTTATACGGTATTCTATTTTTCACTTATTTTTTCTGAACCTATTAACCTTGTAAATTTAGAATTACCCAATTTTTTAACTTTATTTCAATCATAATATTAAAAATTATTTTCAGAATTAGAGCATTTGGATATTTCTGACTCTCAAATTAATTTAATTCCGCCTGGATTTATTTCACAAATGAGCCAATTAAAATATTTATCATTGAGGGGGAATCGTTTAAAATTAATTGATAATCAGATGTTTGGAAATGGACAAAATAATAGGGAAAAATCAAAGCAAAGTTTAGAAGTAAGTAAATAATTTATATAAATTTGTTTATGTTTTAAGCTCTCTATAATGGGGAATTAGAGACCCTCCTAATTAGAGACAAGACTGTGAGCGCGGGATATAGAAGCACTTTGACTTACTAAGGTCAAACACCATTTTTAGTTATTCAAGTTGTGCTTAGAATTTTTAGTTTAATTTTTTCTTTATGAAAAGCTGCACAGAAATCAAATTTAAAACACGACTATGTATGATCGTAATAAGAAGATTTTTTGGAACGCGATCTCGTCTCAATCCGATCTCTAATTATAAATTACCTATAAGCAGTTTTAAATTACATTGGGATTTTAGGATGTCTATAGGTTTCATTTTTCCTTGGGTTGTGATATGTAATTTAATTAAGATGGCTGAAGCCTTAAATGATTTGAATAACTTTTAAAATAGTAAATTACTATAATTTTATTTTTTAGCATTTGGATTTGTCAAATAACCAAATAGAAAGAATATCTCCAAATTCCTTTCAATTATTATCTTCTCTATTAACATTAAATATTTCTTTCAATCAACTCCATTATCTCTCAGAAAAAACATTTTTGGGATTAAATAAATTAAAAATACTGGATTTGACGAGAAATAGAATTTCAAAATTGGAAAAAATAAAAATTAAAAAGGAAGGAATTAATTTAGATAAAAGTTTATTTGAAGGAATTGAAAATTTAGAGGAATTGAAACTTGCTGGGAATTTATTGGCTGAGGTATTTCTCACTTTTGGGTGTTTAAGAAGAATCGGGCTTAGGGAATTTTTACAAATAATACTTCTGTGCCAGATTCTCTATCAAGAGATCGGATAAATGGCAAAATTAGATATTTAATTAAATTTTTTGATCAGATAACGTTATATGCATTTTTGGGGTACACCCCAATGCTCAGTGTACCGCAGAGCTATAACAATGTCCAAGGTGGTCGAATCCGAGAGGCACTAGTATATTTCATTTCATCTAGTTTATACGCATCGAAGCATACCAAGCGTCCCGGATTCGAGCACTTTGAACGAAGTTATAGCTTGTGGTACATTGGCCTGCTTCCAAATTCTTGTTTAATTCGATCTTTAACATAAACTACATATGTTTCTATGATTTAATTAAAAATTTGTATTTTACCTTAAGGAGTTGAAAAAATACTAAATTTTTTTATTAAATTATTAAAAATTTTAATTTTAAAATAATTTTTCTTTAGTGTTTTTCAATAAATTTAAATTTCATTTTTTAGTTACCACCTCATACATTCCATTCATTACCTTCACTTATTAAACTGGATTTAAGTTCAAATTTAATCAGTTATATTTCTTCTGATGCCTTTTCTGGATTGAAAGAATTACGAGAATTAAGACTTGAAAAAAATTTGGTAAAAAATAGAAAAAATTATTTCTTAAGCTAAAAATATTTTAAAGCTTTCTTCGTTTGTATCTGAATCGAATAATAATAAAATTCCAACAGAGACTAAAATTAAAAATTTGTTTCCCCAAAAACTTGAATTTTTGGACCTTTCTGGAAATTCTTGGATGAAGGTAAAATTTATTCTTAAATTTTTAAATATCAATTTTGTTAGGGGTTTTTTATCCGAGTGCCTAATTGTTAATTAACTATTAATTGATTACCGTATTTTCTCTAGTAATCCCCCAGGGGGATTATTGTTTCAACCCATTTCTAGAGTGGGGAATTAATAGAGACTGGGGAATTAATAAAGGACTGGGGGATTATTAGAGTAAATACGGTAATCGGTTTAGCCAGTCATTAACTTTTACAAAACCGTTCCTCAAGAGGACACCAGATATAGTTTGGCCACTGGGTGGGGCCCCAATTTTAAACACACTACAATTTTAGCCACACTTTTTCCATACCCAATGTGTATATTAAATTAAAATCTTATTAATTAAATCTCCAAACTATTCTAAAAAAATTTTCAGATTCCTCCACTAAATATTTCAACTTTAAAAATACTAAAAATTGAAGAAATGGTTCAATTAAGAGAAATACAAGTAAATAAAATTTAAAAATAATTTTATAATTAATTAATTTTTAGGAGAATTCTTTCACTTTACTTCCAAATTTAGAAACTCTTTCACTTGCAAATTCAATATTTCTTTCAAAAATAGATCAAAAAGCTTTTGGAAATTTTTTAGAAAATAAATTAGAGACAAATATTAAATATTTGGATTTATCTAATTGCCAATTATCTAATTTATCTGTTTTGCTTTTGGACTGGAAAAAAATTAAAATGTTGAAATTGGAAGGTAGAATTGAATAAAAAAATTTCTGGATCCAGATTATTTGATAGACCCTTCTTCAATTCAGTCTCGATAGTGTTACACCACTAATCCAAAAATCCTGATTAGGGTTGCCAGCTCGCTCGAACCGAAACTCGAAAAATCGAGTGAGCCGAGGCTTTTCAGCTCGAAAACGAACCGAATCGAAAAAAATTAAGCTTGAAAAAAATGCACCGAATGGCGGCTCGAAGTGAAAACAACCCTAATCCTGATTAAAGGGCTTCGGAACTTCCCGAGGCAATATTTTTGTTTTTTTTTCCGGGCGGTCGATGCTTGATATTGAGACTAAGAGATGTTGGTTTTCCAAGATTTTGAGTTTTGAATCTTAATTCAAGATTTGATGGATTCTTTCTGTCTTGGGTTGAAGTAATGGAAAATTAGTCTTAAAAATAAGCCCATAAATGGGAGGTTTATTCATGCCGCCCACAACCCAAACCTGAGCTTTCGATAATTAAATTATATTTTTAAAATTAATTTTTAAAAGGAAATCGTTGGAATTGTGATTGTCAATTAATTTCTTTTCTTCCCCAAATTCTTCAAAATATTAAATCAACTGGTGATAATTTTGTAGAAAAAGTTCTATGCAAAGAACCAAATGAATATATTAATATTCCTTTAATTGAATTTAATTATAAGGTTTTTAATTTTTATAAATTAAACTTTTTTTACTTATGCTACGGTTACATAAAAAACGCAAGACGCCGGCGGAAGACGCTCGGCGTCAAGACGCCGGCGGAAGACGCTGTTTCGTGGTTACATAAAATCGGCGTCTTCCGCTAATGCTACGCTTACATAAAAAACGCAAGACGCCGGCGGAAGACGCTCGGCGTCAAGACGCCGGCGGAAGACGCAGTTTCGTGCTTACATAAAATCGGCGTCTTCCGCTAAGCGGGAAGACGCAAAGCGTCAAAACGCTAGTTTTATGTAAGCACAAAACTGCGTCTTCCGCCGGCGTCTTGACGCCTAGCGTCTTCCGCAAAAAGCTGCGTTTTTTATGTAAGCACTAATTGCGTACTAAATTTGTAACAAATATTTTATTGAAATTAAATTGAACAAAAAATATTAAATCATTTTATCCTGCCATGATACCGATCCAACTTCATGGTAAAATATTCTAATTAGAGGTCGGCGCGGGACGGGATCCCGACGGGATTTTCCGGGATCCCGTAATCCCGGATTTTTGTGATTGTCGGGATCATTCGGGATCCGGGATTTTTTCGGGATTTATCCCTCGGGATCACGTCACGGCATCGGTTAAGAAAAAAATCCCGACTCGGGATCCCGGACTTTTTTTTTAATTTTCGGGATTTTCGGAAGACTTTTGCTTAAGGATCTTTAAATTTTTCAAAATTTTCGCCTGCGGCGCTGAAAAAGGAAGAAATCTAGTTACTTGGCCTCCGAATTTCTCAAAGCTGAAAAGGAAGACTTATGTGTATATCGGAGAATTTGAATTGAGTTAAGTGGATTTAGTGATATCCGGATATTTCAAGGGATCCAAGGAACTAGAACTAACTTGGAACAAGTTCCCGGGCCCGAATATAGGTCCTATAAAATAGAAAAACCATAGGGGGGACCAAGCTGAATTTTTCACACATATGAGACATCTCAAAAATATCGAAAAAAGCAATCCCGGAGAATCGTGGTCCCTGCGAAAAAAAAGTTTAAAAATAAGAAAAAGGGTTTTTCTAGGGTAAAAAAATATGCTGAGTACGAATCTGAACTCAAATTTTGAAAAAGTCGGATCCCGAACCCGAATATTGCCGAAAAAAAATAATATTTTTTGCAAAAGGTATACCTTTTTCAAAATCAATTTTAACCCATAAAATTTAACTTTAAAAATATAAAATTTATATTGATCGATAGAGAATGAATTGAATTTTCAAAATCTTTTTAAATTTTGAAAATCGGATTAGAATTGGCCGAGAAATGATCAAGACGCTAAAAGTTGCCGCAAAAAATTCAAACATGTTTGAATTAAAAAAAGAGACGCCGGCGTCAAGACGCCGGCGGAAGACGCAGTTTATGTAAGCACTCAAAAAAAGCGGCAAGACGCCGGCGTCTTGACGCCGGCGGAAGACGCGAGTTATGTAAGCACGCAAAAAAAGCGTCAAGACGCCGGCGTCTTGACGCCGGCGGAAGACGCAGTTTATGTAAGCACTCAAAAAAAGCGTCAAGACGCCGGCGTCTTTTACTCTCCTCATTTCCCATTATCTTTTCTGCCGCAAGACGCGCGCGTTTTTTATGTAAGCGTAGCATAAGCGAGAAGACGCAAAGCGTCAAAACGCTGATTTTATGTAACCACAAAACGCCGAGCGTCTTCCGCAAGACGCGCGCGATTTTATGTAACCACTAATTGCGTACTAAATTTGTAACAAATATTTTATTGGAATTAAACTGAACAAATAAAATTAAATCATTTTATCCTGCCATGATACCGATCCAACTTCACTGGTAAAATATTCTAATTAGAGGTCGGCGCGGGGCGGGATCCCGAAGGGATATTCCGGGATCCCGATCCCGAAAAATTTCGGATCATTCGGGATCCGGGATTTTTACGGGATTTATCCCTCGGGATCCCGTCCCGGCATCGGTTTTTTTTATAATTTTCGGGATTTTCGGAAGACTTGCTTAAGGAGCTTCAAAATTTCTCAAAATTTTCGCCTGCGGCGCTGAAAAAGGAAGAAATCTAGTTTCTTGGCCTCCGAATTTCTCAAAGCTGTAAAGGAAGACTTATGTGTATATCGGAGACCCATCACTGATCGTCAACCTACTCATCAAGAAATGGTCACTTTTTCGTGTTTTTGGTATCATTTGATAGAGAATCAAAAGCTCTACAACATATCAAAAAATCAGAATTTTTGACCGATTGATAAAATAGTTATGATATAAATACTCGATATCATGCTGAATAAACTCCGTTCCAAAAAACCTCGACACCCCGCAATTTTTCAGATAAATCGACTTTTGTATCTTGTAGCAAATTTCATGGGCTTTCAAATAGGCCTAAAGAAAATTTTAAAATATGCAGCAAATGGGATATCTGAAAAATTGGGGGGTGTCGAGGTTTTTTGGAACGGACTTTATCTCAAAAATATCGAAAAAAATAATATTTTTTGCAAAAAGTATACCTTTTTCAAAATCAATTTTAACCCATAAGATTTAACTTTAAAAATATAAAATTTATATTGATCGATAGAGAATGAATTGAATTTTCAGAATCTTTTTAAATTTTGTAAATCGGACTAGAATTGGCCGAGAAATGATCAAGACGCTAAAAGTTGCCGCAAAAAATTCAAACATGTTTGAATTAAAAAAAGAGACGCCGGCGTCAAGACGCCGGCGGAAGACGCATTTTATGTAACCACTCAAAAAAGCGGCAAGACGCTCGGCGTCAAGACGCCGGCGGAAGACGCGGGTTATGTAACCACTCAAAAAAAGCGGCAAGACGCCGGCGTCTTGACGCCGGCGGAAGACGCAGTTTATGTAACCACTCAAAAAAAGCGGCAAGACGCCGGCGTCTTTTACTCTCTTCATTTCCCATTATCTTTTCTGCCGCAAGACGCGCGCGTTTTTTATGTAACCGTAGCATTAAGTAAATAATTAATAGTTAGAATTAAACTAGGGATAAATTAAAAGAATTTCGTTAGTAATTTTTGGATTTTAAAACAACCAGATCTGGTTCGAAACAAAAATCTAATTTAAAAATTTAAAATAATTTTTAAATTTTATTTTTTCAAAACAGAAAATGAATGAATGTGAAAATATAAAAATTATATCATCACCATTTTTAGAAAACGAAAAAGAAGAAAATTTAAAAATTTTTAAAAATAATTTTATAACAACAATAATTAGCGGTCTATCTTTATTAATGTTTACAAGTATTATTCTACTTTTGTACTGTTTTTGTTGTACTACAAAAGTAAATAATAGTAGAAGAACGAGTATTATATCTGATAATAATGATTGTTGTTGTTGTTATAGGTAAATTAATATATTTTTAAAATCTCGATAGAGTGACCCATTAGTGAACCTCTCGAAGTAACGAACCCTTTTTTCTATCCCTTCGAGATCATTTTACAATCGGACCTAATTTGTACTACCCCTCTCCTTTAGAAGAAATCTGTCGTACAAGTGCATTGTACAGATGGGGATGTACACTCTATCAGAAACTTAAAAGCACCCCTAGTTTTAAGTAAAAAACATAATTAAATTTAAAATATCATAATTTAAAATATTTTTACGAATTTCTAATTCATATTCGAAAGAAAATAAAAGTCAATATAAATTATGGGTAGTAGGGGATATAACCTGTATTTCCTTAAAAACGACTGTCAGATAATTATAAGCACCCCTTAAGTTTCAGCATTAGGGGCAGTTCGAAAAATCTACAAAAATTCTGGTAAGCATATCTAGCAGGGTAGGCAAAGTCCCACAAAATGCAAGGCACGAGATACGAGATCTCTCGAAAAAAATACGAGAACGAGATTCACGAGATACGAGACTAAGCCCACCCCTGATATCTAGTGATGCCAATTGAAAATACTAAAGAAGATTTGGGAAACAATTTTTTACTGAATTTATTTTTAAAATTTTCTTTTTAAAAATATTTTTTCAAAATTTTTTAGTCAAAAGAATCAAAAAATAAATAACAAACAAAATCAACACAATAACAGCCTTCTTTTCCCAAAATTAATTATCGGTACCCAACAACAACAGCCATATTTATATTCTACGGGTTCTACATACATTGAATCCTTAATTTATGAAAAAGGGAAAGAAAAAGGAATTAAAAGGTTTTAAGAAGATAAATTTCAAAATATATTTTTTTTTGAATTTTTTAGTTTACATTGTCCTTTTTATGGGTGTGCAAATTGTCCTAAAGTTCTTTTAAATTCTACTGATTATCAAAAAAGAGAATCACTTTTAAATTTAAAGGTAGAATAAATTAATTTTTTTATTCAATATAAGTTACTTTATGTAA